TATATATATAAAGCTAAATTGAGTTAGATTTCCATGTTGTTGTCCATCCATCAGCTGTACTTGCTTTGCCTTCCTGGGTTGCCAGTGTCAATGTCCAGCAGTCCAGACTATTTTTTWAATTTGTTTTGCACTGAAATTAGCATGGCGGTGCCGTTGCTGTTGCCCCTCACCATGAAGGTTGCTGGATTGAATCTTGGCTGAGAGACTTTCAGGGTAAAGTTTGCATGTTATCTCCATGCGTGTATGGATTTTTTTTTTTTTTCTGGGCACTCTGGTTTCCTCCCACAGACCAAAAGCGTGCATGTTAGGCTAAGCGGTAACTTTGAATTGGGAGTGAGAGTGGGAAAGGTTGTTTGTCTCTATGTGTTCCTGTAATGGACTTGTGACCTGTTCATGGTGTACCCTTGTAGTTTTTGCTAATTTTGATCKATTAAGGATAAGGGCGGGAACAAAGCRGAAAGACCATSCAAATTCACAGCAACCTTTTTCYGGTATTCACAGTCTATCAAGGATCYAGCCCACRTAGACCGGGTATGCCGGGTCCTTCAAAAGACCCAGACCCTGAATTTGGACGCAGCCTGTGTAAGCTCTTCCAAACTTTTTTACTTGCATCAGGATTAGGTTCCATCTTTGCTCAGTGTTATCAAATGTCATATTATAGTTTTTAACTTTTTCTTTTGTCATGATGTATGCTCACGATGTCTTTGTCTCTGTAACATGAATGACTCTTAGTCCTGGTGTCATGTTTGTTTTATTGTTTGAAACAGACATGCACTAGTTCCAGTACTAAAACAGTGGGTAAATTATGCCCACTGTTATCATCCACAGCTTGCTCATTATTTTGTATAAATGTCAGCCTATTAAATCCACCTAAAGATATGCCAGTAGACACCTTAGCAACAACATAGCAACTAACTTTACTTGTTTTTTTTTTTTTTCTTTTGGTCCGGCATAATCTATCTGTAGCATTTTCAAAATATTAATAAAATCTAAATTAGTTCAGCAAAATTTTGTTTTTAACTTCATGGGTTAGTGCCTTCACTGTCTACAATGTAATCTAATCTAATAAATGCTATTATTTTTTTAAAAAAAGTTTTATTTTAATTACTCTTCTAAATGAGTAAAAACATGAACTTCATTAAAAACTCAAAATTTATGAAAAGAGTTGCAAAGCAAAATGGCAAAGAGCATGGATTTTTTAAAAACAAAAATCTCTCTTAAGTCATTCAGTAAATTTAATTTGGTGGGTTTGGCAGTGGGTTTTACTTTATTTACTGTAATGTTTCAGTTTTGCAGAAGAAAAATGTTGCAGCGATTAGGAAACAATCCAACACGAGTTTTAAAGTGCTTCCTGTCCTCAGAGAGTCTTTTATTTATCCAGGGTCGTTTCAATGTCCTCATGTGGGTTGATTTGTCACATAAAGTTAGTATTCACTGAATTGAATGTTTTATCCTTTTGGGATAAGTTGTTTGGGACCATTATTTGCCAAGCCATGCATTAGAGACAGGACAGATTTAGAGGGGATTGTGAACCACTTGCACAAGATTTTAAAACTGAATGCAAGTGTTTTGGATTTACTCTAAGATGCAGAACAAACCTTAAAATAAAAAAAAGACCCTTTTGTGTCAGACTTGGTTGTTTTCTTGTTTGCTTTAAGAATTTATATAATTTAAAAACAGCAGTATTTTTAATTTGTTTAGATTTATTGTTTTAAATAAAGTAAATGGAGAAACTATAGTCAGCACAGTGGAGAACTGCACTGAAATAATAACTGTCAATCACCATGTTTTGTTCAGGATGGGTGATTACATAGTGAATACATGAGACAGTGCCCATTAGTGAAACTGGAGTAACAATTATTGACATTGAATTTTATTAAAACCCAGCCGCCGCAACATCAGAATTGATAGTAATTGCCTTTCTGTATTACACTAGAGTACAAACTGCACTCGTAAATGGAAGCTGCGCTGGAATTATCAGTAATGTCCGAACACTGAGGATATGATTATGAGTTTCTGAACGACAAAAAAAATAAATAAATAAATAAAAATAAAAATAGGGAAGTGTCATGTCCCTGTTTCATGTAACAGCAATGAATCTAATCACACAGGTGGCTTAGTTGAAAAAAAATAAATAAATAAATAAAAATAAAAATAGGGAAGTGTCATGTCCCTGTTTCATGTAACAGCAATGAATCTAATCACACAGGTGGCTTAGTTGAAAAAAATAAATAAAATTGTGCTGTGTTATTGTTGCAAAGT